GGTAGATTCATTGGGTGACCACATGGATCATGTAACTTAACACCATTGGGTTTCTTTTTATGTGGATATGATAAAGAAGATGTTTATTACGACACCAGAAGGTATGGAATATACGATTCGGGACTAGTGCAGAATATGCAGAATATGTTTATGCTAACAAACGTCCAAGAAAATATACAAAAATGCTGCATATATCTTTTACGCCATCTTCGAATCACGCAAATACCTTCAAAAATAATAGTAAACAATTTTGTTGAGCAAGTGCTTCGCTTTAGAAAAATTAAAATATTGGAAAAAATATTAGGATTAGGTAGGGCTGTATAATTGACAATTTTTTTTGTGTCAATTTTGCCCGAACTAATTTAAAAAATGCAATGAAATTTGATTGTTTTAATTTTTATTTGTTTATATTGTACGTTACATACCCGATGCGTGGTTTTGAGAACCAAATGGAGTCGATATTATTAATGGGATTCCCCGAATCGCTAAGTATCGTATTCGGGTATTGCTTGAAGAGGGTTATAGGTAAATTGGGCATCAAAAACTCATTAAAATTTATTATAAAATATATATTATGATTATTATTAAATAAGAGGCAAGAGGATATTTAACAAAATTTGGTCAAATTTAACTGTCAATTATGAAGTAGTCAATTGACAAGCCGCGACACTAGGTTTAGGTATGTAATATTATTAATAAAAAAGTTGAAGAATTTCAAAACAAAAGTCATCGAAAAATCATTAAATAAATTGGTCGAAGCCTGACTGAAATCTGACTTTCTTTAATTTTGGGATGTTGTTTGATCGCTAACATTTTGAACATAAGAAAGTATTACTTTGGGTAAGTTATTTTGGTTAGTTGTATGTTTTAATTGACCGTCTAATATATTGATGAAGGAAAATGTTTGAGATTTGATAATTACTGGTTTAAAAATTCGAGTTGAGACAGAGATATCACTCTGAAAAATAAACAATTGATCACTGACGATTTTGGAGCTGGATGGTAATATCATAATACATTTAGGTAACGATCCGTATGCATCGGTTGACTATAGACGGAACGGTCCGAGATTAAGTCTGGTTTTCGATTAGAAAGGGAATAGTGTTGTTTTTTTCTAGTTAGATTGTGAAATTGTTGTTTGTGTATATGAAGTTCAGATAGTTCGGAAGCCTTATCATTATCTATCTACCTTTTCTACAGTTTCGGTTTTACATGGTTCTTATCAAAGGCTAGTTTTTCAAAATTTTTTCGATAAAAATATTAGCGATGAGAGGCAAAATTGGGGAAGTCATAGCTGTCCCTGATATTTGCTCGTTAATATGTCCGCTAAATGCGTAAATTTCTTTAGACAAAATACAGGTATTTTGCAGACGCGATGAAAAAACTGTCGAGAACAAAACTTATCTTTTCAAATCTCCTTGACAGTAGATCAATTCGACACACAAATTCATATAGTTCAAATATCAAAACCGCCTGAATATTATCATTATGGTTTTAGAACTTAAAGCCTATTTAGTTAAATTTTCTGAAGGTATGCGTATCACATTTAATTGCCTATAAGATTTTAAATGTATTACTATAGGCTATTTATTCAGCCATACTAGTTATGGGTAGAGTTTCGTTTTTAATATATGGCCGTTTGATGAGAAAATTTAAATAAATCGGAAAGCAGTAATGTTCATAATCTATTCAGCGAAATATTGATATATTTCGAATTATGATTGGGAATTCTCGCTGCGATTTTGATTGCCTTGGGTCATATAAAGCGAATACGAATAAAATAAAACACCGTTTTCAATTAAATCTAAATAATTTCATCCGTTTCAGGTAAAAGTATAAAAATTAATAAAATTCATCGATTTATTCTCGCCCTTTCTCGTATTTTTACAAGCTCAAATTACATAAGTGAGAAGTGATGTTATATACTCGAATTGAAAGTTTTTCTCCAAAGAACTAGTTACACATCAAATTGTTAGATGAAAAATATTATAAACAAGGTAAGCTATACGCATACCTACTGTTTGTTCAAACCATTAAACAGGTGACAAGTCGAAACGCAGTACAGTCATTAAACAATTGGAGAAACGTGGGATCTTGAATACTTGATATATAGGACTGTTAATTATAACGTCAATGACAATTCCTAAGATAATGCACACAATAATGAAAAAATGTCAAATAATTCCGCAATCACCATATATTAGTAGAGAATATGTTTTATGTGTGTTTTACTCAAGGTATAAGAGTGCCATTTAAAAACAAAAAAAATCTTAGTAATTACAAATTTCGAAACTGATACAGTAGAAAAAGACATCGGTGTAATTCTAGACTCGAAAATCGAGTTTTGCGAACTTTTCTTAATATGCCGACATTTTAATAACAAGTCACATAGCCATATTTCCTAAACCGTGCCAAAATTAATAAAATATCAATTTAAAGTTTTAACGTTGATATCGAAACTGGAAAAATATATTCCAAATGTGAATAATCTTAAAATTCTCTTAAATACAAGGAAACTTTATGGTAACATTTTTTGGCAACTAGTACAGATTTTGGAAAATATATGCGTCGTCTTATATGTTTAAATTTATTCGGTAAAAATAAAATCCCTTTTTTTTAACAAGGATTCTACCGGGAGGCCTTTAGCACACAATTTTCAGTGTTGGTGAATGACTAACAATACTCATATCCATCCAAACTCGGGTGGTACTATCTGCACTCGATGAAAAGACAGAATTTTGCAATGAAATCAACGCCAAAAAATTAAAATGGTTTAGGTATTCGGTGGGTTTCTTAGCATACCATAATCAGGATATATTACTCTACACCATTTTGAAATAGACCAGTTATAATTAAATAATGTATATTCAGTTTTTAAAATGATAAAAAAATGTCTACATTGAAATATCGAAATGTCAGACTTATCCGAAATTCTTTGAAATTTCTTGAACTTCTTATGAAATTACCGACAGTTTTAAAAAAATATAGTTTTAAATTTCTAACTTTCTTTCAATTCTTTTCTGCTTGTCAAAGATAAAACTATAAACCTGTTGTCGAAAAAAATATCTAACAACCATGCAAAACAAGTTCTTTTAGGGCGCATTAGGAAAGTGATTAAACCATATTTAGGTCAGTTTTACAATAGTGTCTAAGGCAACAAGTCTGATAAACGCCATTTTAGTCTTTTTTATAGTTTTAGTTTAACAAACCTCCTAGACTGATGAAGTTTATCAACGTGTTGTGCGGAAAACATTCCGTTAGATGAAATCCTCGTTTTCGAAAGACACGGCTGCTGCGCTGCGGTCTAGCGACAAAGTTGTCAAGGATTTCGTGCGGCGAGTTATTGGCTCGTTATGGAACCTCACAGCGACATTTCAAAGAGCAACGCACTGCAAGTGTCGAACAGGAATGCTACGTTGCACTGCAAATGCAATAAGTGAAATTTAGCCCTCAGTTGTTAGCAAAATATTCGTATATACTGTTCCTGAAAAGTATATTCCTAAATTCACAATGAAAATGAAAGTAATATTCTTTGTTATTTACGATAACTACGGTAGGAACTACTTATGTTTAGCGCAAATTTGTAAATCAGCCCATAACTTTAACAACAAACTTTAACAAAACAATTAAAGCTACTGGGATCTAAGGGACATTTTTAAATGCAGCTTTTAGTGTGGTTTTAATTGACAGATCAAAAATATCAGCCTGCAAGTCTTGTGTAAAATATTCAGAATAAACATGACAATTTTCGCTATCGCGCTTACTACTTTGACATCTCTGGATCCAGATTCTTGAAGCTTTTTGTTTTTGGTTTTGTGACAATTTGGAAGCCTTTATTTTGCATTCGCTGGAAACTGCCACTGTGCGTCCACTTTTCGTTCTAATTATGGGGTTATATTTAAAGTTTACTAGAGATATGGGATTGCGGCTTTACTATGCTGTGCTATATTTTTGCAAAACAAAAGATACCGACTTCGAAACATGAGATGAGACACAAGATAAAACAGAAACTTTGTCATTTGAGTTACCGTTTATATTTTCAACATAATATATCCATCATTTTTTTATGAAATACTCTGTATAGATGTTTTTGTTTACTTAATTGCGATTTTTTTAAATAAATATATAATTGTTTTATATCAATTTTATTGCAGCTACACAAAGCCTAGGATATTTCGAAAGGAACATCATGCCTATATTTTTCTTATAAACATTTTTTAAAGTGTTTTATACATTTTTGTAAAAATACAGATATGTATATTGACAAATAGATGCAAGACCCATTGTGCTCGCAAATACCCGAAGAAGAATACGCAAATATTGCTAATATTGCTAAATATTGTTAATGTTTACTATTTTTTGTATTTATGTGGTTTATATTTTTTTATGATAATAATAATAATATTGATAATAAAATAAATAAAATTAGGATGAAAAATTGTATTTTCTAAAATGTCAAAATATAGAATTATTTAAAAAAAAAATACTGTTGAAAAGCTTATAAAAAGCGCAATCAAATATTTTAAAGATGTATAGATTCTCTACTTTTAAAAACATAATTTTACCTAGTATTTAACCTAGTTTTCATCATTTCATTATAATATAAATAATAATAAATATTAAACTACAAAAAAAAAATAAAATTAAAATCGTGAACAAAATCGCGAAAACCGAATCGCTCTCACTCTATCTGTAACTGTAACTGAGATACCTGGCGTATTGTTAAGTTAAAATCATCAAATATTCTTACCATACCGTCTCCAATTTTCTACTAATAAATGTTCTAAAAGTCAACAAAAGTAACCACAAGAATGGTATTAATTTAATGGCGACCAACAGATAAGGGGAACTCATTGTGTTTAGGGATTTCGAACCTATACCTACCAACTTTCGCATTAAATCGATCCCCCTGAATGGTTGCTAGGAAACAATTTCTTGTTTATAATTCCCGACGTCAGTTTCGCTGTTTGGATTATGTTATGTTGTTACCTAGTGTCTGTCTACGCGATTGGGATGCTTGTAATGTCATACGCAAATGGCATATTTTGAGCAAGTTCTTAACAAATTAGGTTGGAACGATGGTTTCCAGATTCCGGTGGCGAACGATGAAAACAAAGCCTTGGAAGCTGAACTGGCGAGACTGTCTTTGCATAAAATCAAAGCAAAGAACGTGCTGGAAAACCTAAACAGCAAGGTAGAAAACCTTAAACGCCACAATAACCATGTGTCCCACGAAAGCGAGCAGATTCAAAAGTTGTTAATGGCCTACAAGCAACGCTTGGATGCGGAAAAGAACAACTTTCACGTAATGAAAGCCGAGAAAAGCAAATCGGAATCCGACATAAATCAAACTTTAAAAAAAATCAAGCAGTTAGAAGATACGAGGGAAGCGCAAAAAAATGAACTACAGAAGGCGCTAATAAAAGTTGACAAAATGAAATCAGAGACCGGTTGGGATCTCGAAGCTTTGAAAGCATGGGAGGAATCGCTTAAGAAAAGAGACGAGGACAACGAGTTGATCAAAAAGTTTTCCAGAGAGGACGAGAGAAAATTTAACGAGCTGGAAGCGAGAAGACAAAATCTGCAAACAGAATACGACGCGAAAAACGCGGCGGTTCAGAATTTGGTTGGTGAACTCCACAGCTGCGAAATGATCGTCGAAAGAACAGGTATTTACCTCCTATTAGAACAAAAAAAATTTGACCAATTTATGCCCAATTGCTTCTAGTTACTTTTATGTAATTGAATTAACAAAATAAAAGATTTGACACCAAAAAGAACATACAAGCACATCAATTCTTTTAAGTAGTTCGTTATACTTGTCCCGATATATCGGGCGTCCAAAAGTAAGAGCTGTAAGTTTTAAAATAAATTTTGAAACCAGGTTTCTCAACACCACCTGCATCTTTATAATAAACATTAAAAGAAACTGTTTCAATAGCTGATTTTAAAATTATATTATATAGTCGGTACGATTTGTGATGGCATAGTCGGCAATAAAATCCAGACAGAATAAAATAGATTATTCATCTTGCATCCACTTATACTGTAAAAGCCTTATTTGTGTGCCCGTCCTTCCCAAGTTGCTTCTAACCCTTTATCTGCTAAACGGGTGTTCGAGTGGGAGACAGTAACCTACGCTTTATTAGGATTTGCTTTAAACGAGCCTCATACGTTCATGTGCATTACCTTTTATGGTATAGTCGCTACGATTTGTAGTGGTATAGTGGGCAATAAAATGCCAGACAGAATAAAAAAAATTGTTCATCTTGCTTTCAATGACACTTCAGGAGATGTTATTCCGCCCTAAATGTATATCTGATCAATGCAAGACAGTTGTCATTAACGATCACGATATATTACTTACGCCCCTACTTAGAGATTGATTCATGTATTTTCTACGTAATAATAGGTCAGGGATTTCGTTAACGATATGCGAATATTTAAGTGGGTGAATCTACCTGAAAAAATTATGATAATTTGTTAAATAAACTATTGTCTGAAAACTCTGTCCATGCAATAAAAACTGCTACTAGCAGTAAATGACCTTTCGTCTTCATTAGTAGTAAGTGGTGGTACCGTGTATTATTTTTTTCCCAGTATTATTTTATTATATTTTCTGTATGTTCTACACAACTCATCCAATTTTTCTTTTGTAACAGCCTGGAGAGCTGCCTTCCAAACAAAAACTGCTGCAGTATCGTAGTGCCTTGCCTCACTTACAATATTTTTATTAAACAATATTTTGCATTGATCTTACACCAATCATAGGACATTCTAAAACTTGATGATCCATTTCAGCATTTATTTCATCTGTAGCATCGGCAAGTTTCTTTTGTAATATTAGATCGATTTTTTGACAATTAATCTGCTCATTGATAATTACTTTTTTTCTTATCGATGCATTTAGTACACTTTCAGTAAATCTGGAATGCATTATCCACAATAATTAAAAACGGCCTTTTGAGTTTCGGCAGCAGTTTGTCAAAAACGCGACCTTGTTTTGAAGTGGAAACTGCTGCATTTATCCGGTGATTGCTGCTATCTCTGTCGCGTGTACGACACCGGGAGGTAATGGACAAAAGTAGAACACTGCCAGGTAAATAGGTGGGTTTTGTCATTCTTAGTATATGAGCAGGTAAAATAATGAGGCACCTTCTTGGTTTTATGACCGACCATGTCATGTCATATCGACTATAGCTGACAATTCTTTCTTTACATTTTAATTTTTGGATTTAAAAGATCCCAGTCAGAATCTGCTTTTTTGCGTCTTATTGTACCCAAATGTACCTTAGAAAAGCAGATATGTACTTAAAACTCCTTTTTTGGGACAAATAATTGGTTTTCGCTCTTGATTTCGAGCGGATTATAGTCAAAACCAGCATTTTCATAACTTTACGCACTGAAATCCCCTAATAAACTGCACATAACTACTTAAAAGCCCACTTTCTTGGATTGCTGGTAGGTTTTTCTTCCATTATTCAAACAGATTCCAGTCACAATCGGCTCCTCCGACTCATATTGTACCTAAAACCGCATCAACACTGCAGATATCAGCTTAAACTATCATTTTTTGATCCAAGCAGTTACATATTCATGTCAATATCTTTCAAATACTAGTCAAAATCGGCCTCTTCGGGCATTATAGTGACGAAAACCTTAATAAACTATTAGATTTCGACGTAAAACCCCCTTTCTGAGTCAAATAGTTGCCGATTTCGATAAGATCCCAGTCAGAATCTGCTTTTTCGCCTCTTATTTATTAATTACAAATTAATTTTAAAGAAATAGGTGGCTTTACCCTTTTCCTCGTCGTTCCCTTACCCCCATAAACATAAATACGCATATATAGAATAATAAAGGCAAAAGGTTAATAGTTGTTAGTCTGTTATTTGATACGTAACAAGTCTAGTAGGTTTAAATAAACTTTATTATTGTTATTACGACCAAGGTCTCAACATTGTTTGAGAGTTCGTCTTATGATAGACCACTTAATTAATTTACTGTAACAGCATTGTTGTTTTTTCTTTTGTAATATATTGAGTTAATTAATTTTTTTTATTAATATTGTCATTAACATTATACAGTAACGGTAAACTAATGAGAAATGATAGCTTACGATAATTGTAATTGTTGGTACTAAGAAATTGGTTATAGATATTTCGAATATTATAATCTATTGTTAGGTAGTTTATTCTTAATTTTCCTATTAAGCTTAATGATAATTTTAAACAATACTTTTAATCGATAAATTATTTTAAAAAATGGTACGTTTCTTTAAGGCAAATTAATTGGAACGTATTTTCTAACACATAACGTTTTATCTAATATATATTATATTTAGTTGGATATCCATTGACTTTCATTACTTTTTAACACCTGCTAGGCATGGACTGCCTGAAATGTCTGCAAGTCTCTAGTGGAAGGCTGGTTCAAGCTTCTCTCATACCTTCAAACAGTTCGTTGAAATTTTGAAAAGATTTTGAACCTAACTTTTTTTGTGAACAACCCGACGAACTGTTTCCAAACTCGTTTTTCTGGAACGTCGCTGCCTAGATTCAGTTCTAGTTGTCCCATGAATTCTAGCATGATGAACAACATTAAACACGGCTTCTTTGCAATTATTAATCATTTTTGCCATAATTGTCTATGATTTTTGTCTTTAATTTATTTTAATTCGAAAGTAGATTAAAATTAAATTATTGACGAGAATGGAGGTTGAATACAAAATAAATCTCTATAGAAACGATATTCGAATTTCATAATAAGCTTACTTATGATGATTGTGCTAAATTTAAAAATAATAAATATGTATCCTAACAATAGTAACACTAATATAATATTCGAATTGTCTTGAACGAATATTTTAATACCAAGAAATAACATTATGGTAAGCTATGGTGTCTAGTTGGTTTGCCCTCGATGTATGTATATCCAAAAATGTACAGTGCACTATAATGAACTTAGAATGGTTGAATGATATAAATAATTTACCTTGCGTTTTTGACATCATAAGTGGCTACTCTTTAAAGGAACTATTGCTTGGTTGGTTTTAAGAAAAAAAATTATATCAATGTAGGTCAGCAATCGCTTTATTTTTGAAATTAAAAAGATATAAAAAAAGGTTACATATTTGATTGATTGATAAACCCGCACAATTCATAAATTTTTCTATTTTCTCTATTTTTGAGAGTGCCGTCGGGGTAAGCACGACACCGAATATTTTTATGGAAAAAATGTTACGCAGCAGGTTTTCATGAAGGATTTTCAATGAAATACAAAATCATTTAAGTGTAAATGGGCTAGGAAGCTGTTTTACCAACGAATCATGTTTCAACCCACAAATCGTCAAGTACATCTCAGATGGACTGTATTAACTGTAAAATAAGGACCTTTTTTCAACAAGGGTTTATTCTGCCAAAAGGATCCATCGCTTCTTAACTCAAACACACAATATATCAAGGTAGTAATCTACCAACTAAATGAAAATTTAGGAAACCCAATATAAGAGGATGCAGAGTTAAGAGTTCTTTTTTGCTAAGAAAAAAATTGCGATTTTATTGTTTTAGAACAAAGACTGTCTCTATGCATTGCGGATTTAAAATTTTAGCGAAATATCTAAAGCAGTGTCAATGGATATGACCTAAACCCATTTGTTTTTTAATTTCAATACTCTCTAATTCAAAAATAAAGTGATCAAGATCACTATCTTATTATGAAATACCCTATACAGTTGGGTTGCTTTAGTGTCCAACATATGGGGTTTCTATTGCTAACTGCAAAAGTTCGAACAATATGATTAATTGCCTTATTTTCTTTAAATTATTTTAAATACAGTCGCAAATTATTAACAATCAAATAAATTTAAATGTTATGTTTTTTGCGACGATACTTAAAAAATCTGAAAATATTATTTTTCAATAGTCAAAGCATTCGTAATTTTAATAGGCATATTCAGAAATCGTCATTTAAATAGCAAAATAAATGAAAATATTATTATTAAGAACTAATAAACAGAAAAAATAAATTAGTTGAAAACAACTAATAATAAATAATATAATTAATAGAATAGAATGGAATAGCGTTTGTTGACCTTTTATGTACATAGTAGTCCATTGAAAGTCAACAACATAAATTTCTTAAATTCTGTAATATTGTAAAATGAATGTTCAATTAGAACATTGCCTAAAAAATTCTTAAATGTAGGTTTATTCATATTTGTTATGTTATATTCTTTGTACTTATTTCTAAATAGGTTACAAAGACTCAAATCTATTGTATCTCATGTCATTCTGATCCTTGAACTCGGTAATATCAAATTAGAAGCTTCTCTCATATAAGTATGATAATAAGAAAGCGTCCGGTAATCTTTTAAATGTATATGGGTTTCAAGTATAATTATCAAGTAAATAAAATTAATAATAATAGTAAATAATACTTAGATTTTATCTCATTATGTTAACCGTCTTGGGCGTTTGAAATAACATTTCTTAATAATCAAGCAATGTTTACTTCAAAATCTCATCTCTTCATATAATAATTTAAATATTAATATTAACATTTATTTTCGAAAAATCAATACTACAGTACAATATAGCAAGGATAAACGTCAGTGGGTGGAATCACTAGGTATAAAAAAAATTATTTTAGCTTACCCTCAGAGGGTTGTTCTATGGTACAGATATAAATTTGGACCTATCTAATTTAAGTACTTTAAGTCAATAAGATCATTTAAAAGCTGTCGATAAGTCGCAATTATCCATTGTTTTGTTTTGTAATCAAATGGTCTAAAATTTTGAGTTTCTTTGTATACCTGTATGTTGGTAGTATATTGTATAGTATGGGTGCATAATATGTATAAGAACGTTGTTCCTGTGTTTTTTGAGTAACAGTGGGATACGCGACATTTTTTCGGATATTGTACATATATTAATTATAATTTAATGGAATTTAACCTTTTTTATACCTTTTAATACGGACAATTGCCGTATATATATTCAACAGGTCTCCTGAAACAGCAAATTTGTTGGGTATAATTTTGGTTTGCTCAACCCCGACCCAGGGCGATGATGATGGATGGGTTTCCATTAAGGACGTACACACAGTTTCTAATTATTGGATTGTTGAGAAGTTTTTTAAGTGGTAAAATTTAGACCGTAACACTCTAAGTTTACAAACTACATTTGCGAGGTGTTAGTTCCATCTAAGCAAGCTTTCTATAGCAATACCGAGATATTTTATAGCATACGTTTCAGGAATAATAATATAATTTACTGTTAACTAACTAACCCAAATTTTGGATGGATATCAACGAAAGTTTGCCTATTTAAATTAGCAATACTTTGGCTACTTAAAAATAATTTTTAAGCGATAATATTACAAATAAGATGGAATAGCAAAAAAAAATTGCTAGATTGATTTGATGAATAATTTACCAAATTATTAATATTTTTAGAACGTTTTTTTTAATCTTAGTGTTTTGATATTATGGCACAACTTTACTCTTGTATTTTTTGTCCTACCCTGTGTGCTGTTTGACTTGCAAATATTTTTAGTGCACCTAATATGGTTATGCAATTAGCACCAACTTTTGCCAATTTTGGTTGTGCAGTTCGGTGAAAAAGATCCATATGTTGCACACTCAAATGACCACACTATATAAGAGAATCTTCCAAACTAAGCAAATGTTAACTACTGATACTAAGCAAATGTTGACTTTGGTTGGTTGATCTGCTCAACCGACAGAAAAAATGTAAAATGTTGGTAACTGTCTTTCTGATCAAATAAAGACTACCTTATTATTATATACCATGAAAAGGGAAGCAATTGCCACAACCCTGGCGAATCTAAGTAACCAGTTATTGACTGGGACCGAGAACACTTTTTACTAAAATTGTTTTTATGCTAGGATTTAAAAATGTTGCGTTTTCAGGTAAGGCAATAAAGCAACAGTTCGCAGAGCGCGAATGTCTTATACGGCAATGGAAAGACGCGATCAAAATGTTGCACCAACGTGACGCAGACATATCAGCGGAACAACAGCACGTCACAAACTCTCAGGAACAACTAGAAAAACTCCAAGAACGGCTGGGTGAGGAGAATGAGTTTTTGCAAAATGAACAAAAACATAACCGCGATATCCAGTTGGAGATACAAAAATTGAACAGTCAATATTCACGGGCTAAGCTTCAATTGGACGACCTTATTCAAAAGATTTATCTGATCGTCAACGAGACTCACGGGCTCAGACGAGCGGTGACCGGGGCCGCTCGACATTTAGAACAGACCAGGTTAACGGGGAAAATGCTTTCCGAGCAAATTGACCAAAAAGAACGTCTGCGTATAAAAACCCAGGAAGAACTTACCAATCTAGAACAAAAACTGCAAGAAATGAAAGGCACTAACGTCACTTCGGCGGAAAGGATCACAAAAATTCAAAACTTAATTGACGGTCAGGAGAACAGCTGCAAAATATTTATCAGCGATACCGAAAGAATCAATAACAACCTGTACAGGATGACTCAGGTGTTGACGGAGCAAAAGGACGCCGGAAAAATTTTGGAAACTAACCTAAATAACGTTTACTGCATGTGCGCCAAACTAAAAAAGCACATTTCTGACGAAAAAAAGTCTCTTGAGAAGATAAAGGAAGTGGTCTACAACATGGACTACCGTATCGACGAATTTGAGCAAAAGCTTTGCAAAGTGGAAGGATCGGATAGAGAGGAACAAGCGGACGAACGACTAAATAAAATAAAGGATTTGGAAACAGTTTTGTCGGAACACGCTGAAGTGCAGCATACCCTTCAAAACCAAGTCGATAGATTGCGGGAGGAGATGCGCCGACTCTGGAATTTTTTAACGTCCGATAAAAAGCAACTCGAAGAGCTGGAGAACAAAGTAGAAAATTATCTTTTAGCCTACGACGTAGGTCGAAAACAAATCGACGCTGCCAAACGCTCGATACAAGAAAAACAGGTCGAGGAGAGCATGATGAGATTGAGAATAAATCACATCGAAGATGAAATGGAGAAGGAGGATTGCAAGATTTTCAATTTGCAAAAATTGAGGGTGGATCTGGATTTGGTCATGAAGGAACGTCAGATAGAGATCGATACTAGGAAGGCAGTGATATTGGCCAAAAAGCGAAACCTGGAAGATGAGGTTGGAAAACTGAAAACAGAGATAGGGTTGCGGAAAATTAAGCTGGACCAGTTGCAGAAGAAGTATCACATGGAACTAATGTCATTGGGTAAAGACCAAGAAGGGCAAAACCTATCAATTACACATTACAAAATAAAACACGCGCAGGAAAAGTTCTTTCTGCAACAAGAGGGTGACGAATTGGACACGAAGATAAAGAAAGCCGAGCAAGAAATCATAGCAATGGAAAACACTTTGAAAATAGTAAACCTGACTAACGTTAAATTCAAAAGTAACCTGATACAGGTTAAGGAAAACGATTTGCAATTAGAAGACATGAAATCTTTGGGGTGTCAACTAAATGACGTCATGATTAGGTTGAAGTACGCCAAGGAGGGGTTAGAAGCGAAGCGGTGCGAAGTTAATGAAATAAAAGAGAAATTGGAAGAAATGCGAGGAATGAAACTGAGCAAACTGGACGAGCAATCCCGACTGGAAGAAGAGAATATATTAGTTGAAAAGCAAGAACGGAGTAAAGAGGAAAAATTGGCGAGAGCCGAGCTGCAATTAAAAAAAGTCACCAAAAAGATTGGAAATCGCGACACTTCCCTCTACGATCAAGATCTGGAGATTCGCCATCTGAAGGAAGCGAATAAGACGGTCCAGAAGCAGCTAATGGATATGGCAACATCACATCCGGAAATGGGTCCGCTGATTAACAAATACGCCGACGAACAGGACGTCGATTTATATCCGTCGCCATGTTCTTCGTCACTTTATACGTCGGTAACATCGAGCAGCAGTTCATCCTGTAGCGGCGTTCAGATGGAATCAGTGACGATAAAGAAAGTAAACATATCGTGGAAATAAAGCAAATAATTCGCGAAACTTGCCAAACTCCAGTTGCTATTGGGCAATTCAGAATTCGTTTACGGCTTTTTTATATCTCCCGGCATATGAGTATTTATCTGAAAGTTGCTAAAGCCAGAATAAAATCGAAACGATTTCGGTTAAACCCATATTCCTTTATTCTCCCTTCGCCCTTAATTTGATAAAGTCAACTTTTGGGATTAACGTGGAATTCTTCTTAGACGGAAGTTCATTATCCGGGGCGCTATCTTAATTTTTATTTCCGGGCGAGGAAAGTTGAACCATAAATTTCAACAATCGGACTTTTATGAGCTACTAAAATTGTACCTACCACTATCGCGTAAATAATAAAGTAAATATTTTGTTCCGGTATAGTGACGTCTGAGCCAAGGCAAACATAATTTATATTAAAACGTCCAGAGGTACATGTCCGGTAGGTTATAGAAAACCGATGAAAACGTACCTACATAAATATTGGCTTATGAAGACATATGGCGAATCAAAGATGTTCTGTAAACATATAATGGAAAAAGTTTATCAATATCTGGAGAAGTCCTGAATAGTGAATAAAGGCCCTTCAATAAATATGCGTTTCATTCATTTAACATTGTTCGAATGCGAATTGCTCATGTTTCCATTTTTCCATTTTATTCCCGGTTACCATGATTACACATAATAATAACGTGGAGTTTGAAAGTGGCCCAACTCCAATTAAACTTAAATTAAAATATTTCATATTGAAAATGTCGGTCAGCAGCGATGCTGACTTTCACATACTTTGCTATTACTGTTGTTTTTATTAACAACGAAATTTATTTCCTAACTTGGAAACTTCAACAATATTTAGTAACATCTGCTAATCCGTAAAGTTATTAACATAATGGTCATTAGAATGTGTAATATAAATATCGCTAACAAAAAAATTGAGCTGTCAAAACACCGTCTCCTATCCTTTGATCCCTATTTCGACATTTGAAAATGGTAAAATGGAAACAATTCTCAATCATTTATAATATTTGCTAACAATTTTTCACTTAGAGCAATTGCATCATATTCATTTTTTGTTAGCATCGCTGTATGAAAAAAAACTCTATTGTTTTGCTGTTAACACCGCGTATAATCTGCTAGACAACACCAAACGTTAGTCATGGTCAGGATGGATTGCGGATTGCGTCCTCCGCTCCCACGTAAGTCCGTTCCACTCGGAGTGGTGATACCGCAGACTTGTGTGCGTTTCGGTTAGAACCTTGTTTATTATCAGTGCGAACATACCTTCGGCACATATTGTTTATTGTTCATTTAACAATCGCCTCCCATTTACTTAGAGTAGTATTTATTGGTTTCTTTTATTAATAAATATCTTCAATCAAGCGACCAAGAACCTCACTTCCCTTGTTATAATTATAACGAAACATTACACGTTAATCAACCGAAAGTTATATTTTCGATTGACTTTGCCATTCCCACAAGTGAAAATTGGTATTTTTGTTATTTATATTATAAAACAAATAGCTTTTAACAATGCTTACACCTCTTTGATAGATAAGATTATAACTAAAAACAGTTTCTTATAATTCTGAACTCTATCGATCCGAACCCAAAATTTATAACACAATAAAATACATAGGAGAACCTAGCAAAAAAGTTTCAAAACACATCTAAATTTGGTCTCAATCTGTGCTACGCTATGATGAGGTATTGCGTTACCCGTCGAGAGAGTAATAGCAACCATTTTAGCCCCATTATATATTGAAATCAGTTTACCACTGCTTAACATAAAACAAAGCAACTAATCCAAAAATAATGGTAGACGTCGTCTGACTAGACGTATATATATATATATATATATATATATATATATATATATATATATATATATATATATATATATATATATATATATATGGCCATGACGAGCCTCTTAGCCGACCGCGCTTTGTAAAGATTAAAAAATGAACAAGAAAAAGAACTTTTCTGGTGCCGTAGATAAAGCAACAGCAAATTATGGTGAAAATAACTGCAAAATTTTTAATTCCCAGAAGGCACTATTATAATTTTCGTGAACCTTTCGCAGTAATACCGCGCTCTGCTGGGGTAGAAATGTCTTGACAATGCTTCACAATGCCGACCATATAAATGGTGCTGATACTTTTCGTTAAATTTGAACAGAGGTGGCTTTTACTTGATGAAAATTCATTTAACGCAGTTAAATTAGAACTAAAAATGTTCAAATTTTCACAGTTATTTATTAGTTTATGACAGCTGTTTTGCTCACACCGTACCTTTATCAAATCCAAAATTTGACATATAAAGACAGGTAGTAATAGATTCTGAAATGAACAAGAAAAATAACTTTTCTGGTGCCGTAGATAAAGCAACAGCAAATTATGGTGAAAATAACTACAAAATTTTTAATTCCCAGAAGGCACTATTGTAATTTTCGTGCAAGTGTGAAAACTAATATTTTTTTAGAAACATCAAAACATTGAAAAAACTGCTAGGTATAGGTCTAGGCATATATATTATTAATAATAGACCTTTTCAACAATTTTGACACTACTCAATACCAAAGAGATTTCTAAAGAAATCTATAGCCTGGTCACTCTGATTAATTTTGTAAATTTTGAAAAATCTTGTCATCACTGTCATTCTGTAGTGCTGAAAAACACACATGGTACCCTTATACTCCCAGTTAAGTTGTTTAAAAACATTGTTTCCCTGCCTAACTTCTCTCTAAATAGGTCCATCTGCTTAGAGCATAAATACAGAATAGCTAAAATACAGCTATCGACACCAGCAAAATTAGAAATTCGTGCTGGTCTTTAGAAATAATTTCCCACATCATGTTTCCCTTATTGAAATCCCATGTCCATGAGTATCCTCGAATAGTTCGCGTATCAAAATACTCGAACGGCGGCTAGAGTTAAAATTTCATTACACTAGCACAGAATAGTTGATTCTTGAAATCAAGTTATTTATTCATCCGCTCGCCCCGTCGCTTTTGTATTATTGACTAATGAACAATGGAAATTCTATTTGCTGTCATTCAAAGCGTTTTTGTCTTATTTTATCGGGATATTCAATTTCCGCTTTTATAACTCTGTAAAAATGAATTTCGTCGTTTCTAATAAATAGTCCCGTGTCGTTTGGCGAGGATCGAATTGAATTAGCTTTTCCTTTAACGACGTAATTTTATCGGATCCACCTGATGATTACTTTTTTGCGTCACTCATCCTCTCTTGTTAAAACGGAAATGGATTTTTAAGGGGCGAGAAAAAGAGAGCGTAAAAAATGTATGTAAATGATAATAGGAGCTGTAAAATAGGAATTGGGACACCCTCGCTCCTGCGGTGTGTACAGTAAGAAACCGTTTAGCATTTTTATAAGCGGCGGACAAGGAGATAGGGGATCCGGGAACGCCGATGTCTCGTGCACTCGGTCCGCAAAATATGAGGAGATAAAATGAGGAATTTATTTTGGGCAGAGTTCCGACAAAAACTCTTTACGCGCCTTATTTATGCATGAATCCCGAGAGTTTTCGAGAATTCGTCTGCCAAAGGGAAATGGGGATTTCATTAAAATATCGAATTGGAATTTTTGTTTTTTTTTTGAGCGGCTACGTTTTTTCCAGTTCGATGATGTCTACCAGTTTTTCAAAATAAAAATGCCAATATTTAATAATTTTAAGTATTGTTTCCAATAAAAAAAAACAACATTGCCGATTTTTCATACAACCTTCCGCAGTAATACCGCGCTCTGCTGGGGTAGAAATGTCTTGACAATGCTTCACAATGCCGATCATATAAATGGTGCTGATACTTTTCGTTAAATTTGAACAGAGGTGGCTTTTACCTGATGAAAATTCATTTAACGCAGTTAAATTAGAACCAAAAATTTTCACAGTTATTTATTGGTTTATGACAGCTGTCACACCTTACCTTTATCAAATCCAAAATTTGACATATAGAAACAGGTAGTAATAGATTCTTAAGTAGATACAATAGAGAACTTGAACAAAATTTCAATTTGAAAAATATTGATCATAAAAGTAAGTTTATTTTATTAAAAGAACCACAGTTCAAAATAAAAATAATTTCGTGGTTCTGTGTAACAAATATTATAAGCAATTAAAAATTGTAAAATTTAAATCCTCCTTCAAACGCGCTGTGGCTTGCTTTGGTTGTGTTTAGTATCAAAAAGAAAGTCCTGAAAATGACCAAAGCCGATTTTTTAAAAGGTCAATCTGATAATTTACCCTTAGAGGATATGTTTATGGCGATATCTTACATACAAAACACCGAAAGTTTTTCTTTTGCTGAGGTCGGCAGTGTTAAAGCTAAAAGGTATGTTCATAGAAAATGTAGCCACTAGTTTTAAACCAATATAATATTATAATCAGCTTAAAGTTTTCTAGTTAAAGCTAAAATTAAAAGGGTATTTCAAATAAGATGTAACTAATAAACTAAATACTTTTTAAAGTATATTCTCATTGATAACTTAAAGTGTTCTTTTTTTTATAGAGATCAGCAAGCCATTTCCCTGGTCAGCAATAGGATAGGTGCAAGTTCGAAGAGTTAAAAATGTGTGCACGGTTAAGGCTAAAGTTGAACATGATGTTAACAAAAAACGACGGCTTTTATTTTTAGGTAGACGAATAAAAAGTTTATCTGGCGTTTTACGGGTTTTACTGAAACACGATGGCACGATTTGTAATATTGTTTTTGTGTTTGTTATCATGTAAAACACACCAAGTACAAATACCAACTGGCGTAGATTAAATGCAAACACTTTTCCACGAGCCAAAAATAAACGTCGGGTGTCACAACTTGAATTATTTATTGAACCTTAAATATTGGATTTTGAGTTTTGGTATTCGGTATGCGTTATATATATATATATAAGGACCGATACCCCAATTAACTAAAATTTGTTGTTCAACTAGCCGGTCACGACTACCGTTTTGTGTATATATATATATATATATATATATATATATATATATATATATATATATATATATATATATATATATATATATATATATATATATATATATATATATATATATATATATATATATATATATATATATATATATATATATATATATATATATATATATATATATATATATATATAATATTCTCACGTATTGATTCACGGATGGAAAAATGTGATGACACTATATTCCGGGATATCATCCGTTCGCTCGTTGAACTCCGACTGGAATCCTGCAGACGTTTCGCCAAAATCTCACTTGGCATCTTCAATGCTCGCGCTCCGAAAACACTTCGAACACTGGGAGGTTATCGGCGGTGCGTGCGGTATTTATACTCTGCGCCGGAGATGGTAACGGTGCTGCTTGTGCGTGGGGGGAGGTGACTCCGCCCCCTGAATTGTCGCGTTGTTAATTTCGCCCGATCGTAGTTGCGATGTCCCCGTTGGCTGCTGCGCATCGCTCTGCTGTTTGATTATCGTTCTCCACGTGTTGGATAAATGCAGAGCGTCGTCTCTCGTATTGAGGTGTCCGGACTTTTCTATTTCGATGGCCTCTCGTATAATCCGAGTCC